CAGTATACATGCAAACATTTATTTGCTTCAGAATGTACTACCTTAATTCCAGTGAGATATTTAAAAATTACATGGCTCTACTATTTTCCTTTTTTATACTGATATTATGCATATTATATCTATGTAAAAAACCCAACAATCCATTTTATTTTTTGCCATTGAAAGTAATGGTAAAAACTGCAATTACTTTTGCACTAACCTAATAATTATTAGTTTATATTTTGCTGTCTATAGAAGATGAAAGGTAAGCAAGTGTGTGTGTGTGTGTGTGTATATATATGTATGTGTGTATGTACTTTTTAAAATTTTAAATTAAAACAAATTTTTTGAGACAGTCTCTATTGCCCAGGCTGGAGTGCAGTGGCATGATCTCAGCTCACTGTAACCTCTGCTTCCTGGGGTTCAAGTGATTCTCCTGCCTCACCCTTCCAAGTAGCTGGGACTACAGGCATTCACCACCACACCCTGCTAATTTTTGTATTTTTAGTAGAGTCAGGGTTTCCCCACGTTGGCCAGACTAGTCTCAAACTCCTTACTTCAAGTGATTTGCCCACCTCTCCATCCCAGAGTGCTGGGATTACACGTGTGAGCCACTGTACCCAGCTGCAAGTATGTATTTATAGAGTTTGTTGTATTAACTTCCTTGCCTGTCATTTTTAATTAATTTATTACTGTGGGTACAAGTTGCCATCTGGTATCATTTCCTTAATCCAGTACACCTTTATTCCTATCCACCTCCTTTTTGCTGTTTTCATCAAATATACACAGTTCAATACGTTATAGATTAATCAGTTAACTATGTATCTATTGTTTAATATAATTTATACAGACAGGAGGCAAGGAAATACTGGGTAGAAGAAGGCTGTTCCCTGGCAAAGGCCCCATCCTCAAGCCTGGAAACTCATGGTCCTAAATGGGAATAGACTTTCCTGTTTTCACACCCAAATGTTGCCTTTTGCCCTGCCACACCCTCCCTGTCCTGTACCCACATAAGCCCCAAACCCCAGGCTCCATGAGAAGAAGAGCAGACAGACAGAAGAGCAGCAGAATGGCAGAATGGTGCAGCAGAGAAGGAGAGAAGAGAAAGAGCATCTGAACGTTGAGAGGAGTTCAACTGGGGATGGCGAGAGAGAAGATTGACTGCTGGATAGCCAAACTCCAGGGGAAGATCATCTTCCCACCCCATCCCCCTTTTAGCTTCCCATCCATCCTACTGAGAGCCACCTCCACCACTCAATAAAACCCCCACGTTCACCATCCTTCAAGTTCATGTTTGATCTGATTCTTCCTGGACGCTGGACAAGTACCTGGATACCAGGAGGGCACTGAGCTGGTTAACACTTAAGCTGTCTGTGGATGACAGAGCTAAAGGAGCACTGTAACGTGAATGCCCACTGGGACTTTGGGAGTCATGGGTACCCACCCCTAGATGCTACTGTGGGGCTGAAGCCCAAAAGCACTTGCTTTGGCTATTGCACCTGCCCATCTGGGTGCTCCGCATCCCATAAGGGGTTTGAGTGTGTGGCAGCCAAACAGATGAGCCACACCCCTGTTTCAGGTCCTGTGAGGGGGTCAGGGAACTCTCACATTCCATAATTGCTTTTAAAACCAGTATATAAAGAAAAATCTTTTATACTTTTATATAATGTCTTTTATACTTACATTATCTTTACTGGTACACTTTGTTTTTAATGTGAATTAGAATTGCTGTCTCAGGTTGATTTCCTTCCGGCTGAACATTTGCTGCTATTTTTTTCTAAGATGAATCTGTTAGCAAATAATTCTGTGTTTCTGTGGAAGTGTTTTCATTTTGCTTTCATGTGTGAAATATTGGTTTTGCTGGATATGAGATATTTTTACTTCTAGTGACTATTACCCCACTGCCTTCTAACTTTTATTGTTTCTGATAAGTCACTTGTTAATATTGATGTTCTCTTACTAATCATTTTTCTCGAGCTACTTTCAAGATTTTTTCCTTCACTTTGGTTTTCAGCACTTTCACTATGATGTGTCTAGATGTAGATTTTTTTCTGATTTTTCTACTTTGGAGTTCATTGAGCTTCTTGACGACTAATTTTTCCTTTATTTTGGGAGGTTACCAGTCATTTCCTTGAATTTTTTTTTTTTTTCTGCTTCTTTCTCGTCTTTACTTTTGGTACTCCCAATACAAAATTGTTGTGTACTTAATGGTGTTCTTTATTCTGAGGCTCTGTTCATTTATCTTCATCCTTTTTTCTCTGTTGTTTGGATTGTATTACCTCTATTGATTTAAGTGTAAGTTCATTGATTCCTCTCCAGTCCAAGCTTGTCACTGAGCTCCTTTATAAATGTTCATTATAGTTATACTTTTCAATTCCAGAATTTCTGTATTTTTAAACTGCTTAACATTAGTGATATTGTCATACCTTGCCTTACTACTTTTGAGTGTAATTTCCTCTAGTTCTTTGAACATATTTATAGAAGCTGATTCTGATTTTGAGGTCTTTATCTGCTAAGTTTGATATATGGGCAGGGCCTTCTCATAGGCAGTTCCTCTTGCCTGCCCTTCCCCTCCCACCCTATCTTTGGAGGCTATCACTTTCCTATTTGGATGCATGACTTGTTTGCCTATTTGTTTATGACTTGGCTGGCCTATTTTAGTGATGTCTTTTACTTTCACAGAGAAAAGCTTCTGATGTTGCTTTTTCAGAGGGTGGACACTTGAGTATTATATAGTCATCCTGGAATGATAGTGGTTTCAGTGGGGGCTCTCTTTGACTGTCTCCTTCCCTGATCTCTATTATATTGTCTGCCTTTGATATCTCACCTAGCTGTTAAGCTTCACTCATTGTGTGCTAATGCTCACCTTTATTTTTGATAATGCCTTGGGCATATATCCCTTGTAGTCTCAGTTAAATTCTAGCCCCTTTGCAGGGGTGGCTTTTGAGGCCAGTATTGGAGGTTTGTTCCTAATCCCAGGAGAGCTTTTGTTAGCTGTGTTTTCCCCTGGCTTTCACTGGTAAACTGGCTGTCCGACAGTTTAGCTTTTTGCGCTCATGTATCTCCAGCATTCTTTTAATTGCTTACCATGATGATCTCTTTTGAGAGTACACTTAGGTTTGAATTTCCAAATAAAGCGAGTTCCCTTTGGGAGTGCTTCATAGCTCTCTACTCTCACATCCTTTGTCTTCTACTTGTGAAAAATCACCACATCACTGCTTTGAAACCGTGGGTGGGCACAGTGCACTCATTTTTTGGGAGTAAAATCGCTACTCTGACCTACACGGGGGCAGTACAAGACTCTAGTCTTTTATTTCCCCTGGTACGAAAATTGCCATATGTGTGAGCTGGAAGAAGACTGATCAGGGCCCCAATATTCTGGGGGCATGGGTGGGAACTATGTGAAAGAGGTGGGCCTCAACCTCGTGGGCCACACTTGCATAGATTTTAGCCTCTGTGCCATAGTGTTGAGGGGCATAGGAAATGCTGGCAGTCTGCCCTTCATACTGGGAACTTGGGGTGAGGAGGCCCTATCTTTTTAGCCATTACACTGAGCTGGCTGGGGGATAGAAGAAGAAATCGGTCATGGCTCGCATACCACAGTCTGTTCTTACCAAAATTTAGTAGATTTTCTCGAATAAATGTTTCTTCATTTGCTGAATGTCCTTAGGTCAATTTTCAGAGGCTTTTAATGGTTCTTAAAATACTTTTTGCTAGTTTCAATGATGAGAGAGTCTGCAGAGCCCCTTGCATTGGCATTTTGGATGTCTCATGTTCTCTTAAGCATTTTTTAACTTCATGCCCTGGTATAGAATTCCAAAAATATACAGTTTCAGCAGAATCTTTTTTCTTAAAGCAGCATACATGTTTGTGTGTACACGCATTTCCTTCTTGTCTTATCTTCTAGCCCTACTGATAGGTATTGAGCTTGACCAGTTGACCTACCCTTCACCTACTTGGATACCACTTCCTCTTTGTCACCCTGTGTCCTCATTTTTGCTTTTATGGTTAGGTTCCAAATTTCTACTTGAGGCACTGGAAGGGGTGACACATTTTATAAACTGTCTATTTGGCTCATACATTCACTTTGATTTTCAGCCAATTCCTTGGCTTTTGCAAACCAGTGTGTGGACTATCTGTCTTATTCAGATGTTGGTCTCATCAAGAAGACACTTGTTTTATTTGTGCACTAATTTCATATGCTGCAATCCCCAAGTAGCAATTGTGTGGAAGAAAGGATGTTTTGGAGATCATATAAGGTTTGGTTAACTGCCCACCATTGAACTGTGTTTTAAAGCAGTTTCACTAAGGCAGTTGTTTTGGTAATGGACTTCAAAACTGTATTACAATGAGACTCCATTAAAGATAAAGGGAAAAATTGTCAGACATGAAATGTCTCTTCTAAAGTTCAGATGCAACTATTAATAAGACAGCTTTCATCATAGCAATTGAAGTCAGTGGGTATTGCCTGAGGAAGCATTGCATGGAGACTGTGTCTGAAAGGAACTGTTTTTCCTCATGAATTTAAAGCAAGACACAAATTAGAGCAACCCACATTGTTTGGATTGTTGAGTCTCATCTAGGGGATCTTGAAGAACTTGTTTATTTCCTTATGTATCTAATATGTAAATCTCCTGAGGGTATATTAATATTCATTTGCAATCCATATCAATTATTTCATGATAGTCTTTCTCTGCCTCCTTCATCTTCAGGGAATACTCAGTTGGATCTTAGCATCTTTTTTTTAAGTGTTGACCTCAATGGCCTGTGATCAGAAGGATTTTGAACCTATAATGAAGAAAAATTTCACTTTAATGTATGCAACTGTAATACTATAAAATTGATTTTTTTTTATCTGAAATAACCATTTGTGAACCAATCACACTTATTCAGATGTTTTCTTAAGGTAACTTGTTGAAGGTATGAATAAGATCTATCAAAAGTGAGATACTGAATTCAGAACTTCACTTTAAAATAGCTTGTAGGTGAAATAATATATTCTTTGCCTGTTTGTTCTTTAGGCAGCAGGAGCCATTCGACCTCTTGTATCTACTGTCATCAGTCCATCTGCTGATGGTTGCTTAGACCACTCGCTAGAACGTGCCAGACACAGAGCAAGTGAAATGCCCCAAGCTTTTCTATTTGATGTGATTTATGAAGCATATCAGCAGGTAAGAATTCGGGCTTTTTGAATAAGCTGCTGTTATGTTGGGTTCCCCAAACAACCTCCATATTTGGAAAATTTCCAGAACTTATGGGACTGAGCGTATAGTTATACTCAAGGCTAAGACTTATTACAATGAAGTATTAAGGTTATACAGCTGGATCAGAAGAGAGACACACAGGCAGAATCTTTAGGAATCCATTTGCAGGCTTCTAGATGCTCTCTTCCCTCCCTCTCCTGAAGGATCATGCAAAGCACACTTTCTTTCCAGCAATGAAAATGCAGCAAATTGACATTTATGCTCTCCTGTTGGAGACACAGTGCCCAGGGTGTTGGATTGGTCATGTGGATATCCTCTGCTTGGCACATACAAAAATTCCAGATTTCGAGAAGGAAAGTTGGTGTTCAGCATAAATCATATTGTTGATACCTACAGTCTAGGCAGGCACAGTGGCTTGCCCTTATCAGTTAATTCTCAGATGCTGGCTGAGGGCTTGTCTTATAAGCCAGTCTTTTTAAGAACAGCAGTTTCAGATGTACTATGGTAAGTTATCTATACAGCTCCTTAGACATTTTGTTAATCAAAATTTTAGTTAAAAGTAAGTAACTTAAAAATCAAGTATTTTCATTAATATTACTGGATTGCTTCTGGTTTTCATGTTTTGGAAATACTGCTGTACTTACATAATTTTACTGTCATTTGTTTGCCCATTTGAGTAAATAGTTATTGAATATCAGATATTGAGCTTGTCAGAAACTTTGCAATGAGATAAGTTTGAGTAACTAATCTAGTGCTTTAGTCAACTTGCTATAGGAGGTGAGGAAGAATTAGGTAAGAGGATAGAAGAGTGGCCATAAGGATTAGAGGGTAGTATCCCAGAAACTTAATGAAGAGAGTACTTTCTGATTGTGCTGAATCAGATGCAAGCTGATCCATGGTCATCGTAGAATGTGGCAAAATAAAAGGAGGTGTGCAGTTTTAGGTTATAGCTAACTCTTCCTCTTCAAATGGTGCTGGAAGGTCACAGATGTCTATTCTGTTAAATGTTGCCTAGGATTTCTAAAAAGTGAGGAATGAGAACTGTACATAAACATTTGCAATGTGAGATTACCAGTGTTTGACGGGCGTGGTGGATATGAAAATCTTGTTGGAATTGATCTAAGAATAGAAGGGCTGATTTTTGGAGGAACTTTTATACATATTGAGTAGAGAAATGGGAGGAGGTAGCTGAATAGTTATAGATTAAGACTGACTTTTTTTTTCAGATGGATGATAAAATAGCACATTGTTATGCTGATGAGGGTGATTCCGCAGTGAGAAGACAGTGGTAAAGTGAGAGTAGATGGGACCTACTACATTAGTGGTATTGAAGTTGACCTTGGCGGGAATATGGGTAGTTCATCCATAGGGACAGGAGGAAAGAGTAAGTGAAGACAGATGCAGATAGACTGGTAGATGTGATGAGAGGACTTGGAATTTGTCCCTTTTGAGGAATGAATGCAGAAAATACGTAATAGTGTTGACCATTTGGGAACTGAGCAGTGCATTAGGGTTCTCCGGAGGAACAGAACTAACAGGATATACGTATATATGAAAAAGAATTTATTAGGGAGAATTGGCTCACATAGTTACAAGGTGAAGTCCCACAATAGGCCGTCTGCAAGCTGGGGAAGAAAGAAACTAGTAGTGGTTCAATTAGAGTCCAAAAGCCTCAAAAGTAGAGATGCTGAGAGTGCAGCCTTCAAAGGCTGAAAAGCCTGTTGTCTGATGTCCAAGGGCGGAAGGAACAGGAGTAAGCATCCAGCACAGGAGAAAGATGATGGCCAGAAGACTCAGCAGGCCAGCTTATCCCACCTTCTTTTGCCTGCTTTGTTCTAGCTGTGCTGGCAACCAACTGAATGGCCCCACCCACATTGAGGGTAGGTTTTCCTCTCCCAGTCCACTGACTCAAATGTAACTCCCTTCTGGTAACACCCTCACAAAGACACCCAAAAACAATACCAGCTATCCAGGCATCCTTTAATCAAGTTAATACAATATTAACCATCACAAACAGATATCTGGCAGTTGTAACCAAGGTGTCATATGAAGTTGAGTCAGTTAGAAGATACCCATTGCAAGCTGATCCGTGGTCACTGTAGAATGTGGTAAAATAAAAGGTGTGCAGTTTTAGGTTATAGATAACTCTTCCTCTTCAAATGGTGCTGGAAGGTCACAGGTGTCTCATTGCCATTCTATATGCTGACTGGCTGGATTGCTTCTTCTCCCTGTTTCTTCTGGCTTATCTCATTTGTCCCCTTATATATGCTCTAGCCATGTTCACTTTAGTTCTTCAAATACAAGATTCCCACTATCTGGAAGTTTACATCCCACCTTGCTACTTATTATTTAGTTATCCTATAATTATCATTTATTCAAAGAATTCTTTCCTGTCTGGCCACACCAGGTTGGGCTGACCCATTCTGTGTTCTTCTAGTGCCTGTTTTTCTTCTCTCCCCAGCATCAGACTGATAATTGAATAATTGCTTGAAGTCATTTGTGAAATGTCAAACTCCTCTGCTAGGCTGTGAGCCCTATGAAGGCAGGGATGGTGCCTGTCTTGTTCTTAGCAATCTGCCTGGTATATTACTAATACCAAGTATATATATTCGTTCAAAGGAATGATCATAAAAGGCTGTGCATATATTTTTAAAATGGTCCACATACTTGCTCTTCCTCTGCCTAGGCCACTCTTTACAGATCTAAAACTGCTTATTTCCACTCTGTTTTTTTTTTGAGATGGAGTTTCACTCTTGTTGCCCAGGCTAGACTGCAATGGCACAGTCTCGGCTCACTGCAACCTCTGCCTTCTGGGTTCAAGTAATTCTCCTGCCTCAGCCTCCCAGATAGCTGGGATTACAGGTGCCTGCCAACATGCCTAGCTAATTTTTTGTATTTTTAATAGAGATGAGTTTCACCATGATGGCCAGGCTGCTCTCAAACTCCTGACCTCAGGTGATCCACCTGCCTTGGCCTCCCAAAGTGTTGGGAGTACAGGCGTGAGTCACCACACTCGGCCTATTTCCACTCTTTATTGAGGTCTGTAGCAAACATCACCTCCTCAAAGAAGTCTTACCTGATAATCTTATAATCTTAAAGTAGCAGCATCTATCATGTATCCCTTTTTCTAGTATAAGAATCACTACTCCTGCCCACTTTTGTTTTCCGTTTGGTTTGCATGCAATATGTTTTTCCACCTCTTTACCTTAAGTTTATTTCGGTAAGGCTCTTGAAGACAGCAGATACTTGGTTGGTTTTATCCATTCTGCCATTCTGTATCTTTTAATGGAGGATTTAGGCCATTTGTATTCAATGTTACTACTGAGATGTGAGGTACTGTTCTATTCATCATGTTA